CAGGGTGGGACAAAGAACTCTTGTCTGTTGGAGCTAGGTGGGAATGTTTCAATTGACCACCTCTCCATACCTCGTCCCCACCAGCCTCGCTTGCAATGGAGGCCAGGCCGACCTTAGAGCCCAAACAAACCTTGCCCAGGAAGGGGAGGTTGGAAATGGCCCGATAATTCTCAAGGATCACTGTGCCCAGGGAAGGTTTCTTTCAAATTGGCCTGACAACCGCCTTTTCCAGGCAAGATGGGGCCTCGCCAAAGCAAGAACTGCCCAGCAGTGCTTTCCCAAGGACTGACAGAACTGGACACAAAATGGTGGGCGGACCACAAAATGGCGTCCTTCTGGCTTGCTCCCTCAGGAGCCTGAGACCCTCTGCTGCACCTCGGCCTCTTTCCTCCTCCTTGCCTCAGCCACGTGTTAAACAACCAGGATAGAGGCAAGAACCTTACCCAGGAAGGAGAGGTCTGAAATGGGCCGCTAATTATCAAGGATCATGGGGTCCAGGGTAGGTTCTTTCAAATTGGTCTTAGCAACCGCCTTTTCCAGGCAAGATGGGGCCTTACCCTGGCCCAGCAAAGCCTTGCCAAAGCAGGAACTTTCCAGCAATGGCTTCCCAAGAACTGAGGAAGGTGCTAGAACCTTCTATGGGCACCCACTGAGCATGCTCAGTACTGACAGAACTCGACACAAAATGGCGGGCGGAACACAAAATGGCGTCCTTCTGGCTTGCTCCCTCAGGAGCCTGAGACCCTGAGCTGCACCTCGGCCTCTTTCCTCCTCCTTGCCTCAGCCACGTGTTAAATAACCAGGATGTAGGCAAGAACATTGCCCAGGAAGGAGAGGTTGGAAATGGCCGCTCATTGTCAAGGATCATGGGGTCCAGGGAAGGTTTCTTTCCAATTGGCCTTAACAACCGCCTTTTCCAGGCAAGATGGGGCCTTACCCTGGCCCAGTGAAGCCTTGCTGAAGCAGGAACTTGCCCGCAGTGGCTCACTAAGCACTGAGGAAGGTGCTAGAACTTTCTATGGGCCCCCACTGAGCATGCTCAGTACTGACAGGACTCGACACAAAATGGCGAGTGGAACACAAAATAGCATCCCCCTGGCTTGCTCCCTTAGGAGCTTGAGGCCCTCAGCTGCACCTCAGCCTCTTTCCTCCTTCTTGCCTCAGCCAGGTGTTACTCAACCAGGATTCCCTGATCCTAAACTATATTTTACAGAGCCCTGGGGAGGGAGGGTCACCTCCAATTACAAAAGGTTTCCAATTGGCCTTAACAACCTCCTTTTTCAGGCAAGACGTGGCCTGGAAAGGTTTCAAATTGGCCCTGCAAAGCCTTGCCAAAGCAGGGACTTGCCCGCAGTGGCTTCCCAAGAACTGAGGAAGGTGCTAGAACTTTCTTTGGGCACCCACTGAGCATGTTCAGTACTGACAGAACTCGACACAAAATGGCGGGTGGAACACAAAATGGCGGGTGGAACACAAAATGGCGTCCTTCTGGCTTGCTCCCTCAGGAGCCTGAGGCCCTCAGCTGCACCTTGGCCTCTTTCCTCCTTCTTGCCTCAGCCAGGTGTTAATCGACCAGGATTCCCTGATCCTAAACTATATTTTACAGAGCCCTGAGGAGGGAGGGTTTCAAATTGGCTGATTACAGATTACAGAAGGTTTCAAATTGGCCTTAACAACCACCTTTTCCAGGCAAGATGGGGCCTTACCCTGGCCCAGCAAAGCCTTGCCGAAGCAGGAACTTTCCAGCAGTGGCTTCCCAAGGACTGAGGAACGTGCTAGAACTTTCTTTGGGCACGCACTGAGCATGCTCAGTACTGACAGAACTGGAACACAAAATGGCGGGTGGAACACAAAATGGCGTCCTTCTGGCTTGCTCCCTCAGGAGCCTGAGGCCCTCAGCTGCACCTCGGCCTCTTTCCTCCTTCTTGCCTCAGCCAGGTGTTAATCGACCAGGATTCCCTGATCCTAAACTATATTTTACAGAGCCCTGAGGAGGGAGGGTTTCAAATTGGCTGATTACAGATTACAGAAGGTTTCAAATTGGCCTTAACAACCACCTTTTCCAGGCAAGATGGGGCCTTACCCTGGCCCAGCAAAGCCTTGCCGAAGCAGGAACTTTCCAGCAGTGGCTTCCCAAGGACTGAGGAACGTGCTAGAACTTTCTTTGGGCACGCACTGAGCATGCTCAGTACTGACAGAACTCGACACAAAATGGCAGGCAGAACACAAAATGGCGTCCTTCTGGCTTGTTCCCTCAGGAGCCTGAGGCCCTCAGTTGCACCTCGGCCTCTTTCCTCCTTCTTGCCTCAGCCAGATGTTAATCAACCAGGATTCCCTGACCCTAAACTATATTTTACTGAGCCCTGGGGAGGGAGGGTCACCTCTGATTACAAAAGGTTTCAAATTGGCCTTAACAACCGCCTTTTCCAGGCAAGATGGGGCCTTACCCTGGCCCAGAAAGGCCTTGCCGAAGCAGGAACTTGCCCGCAGTGGCTTCCCAAGGACTGAGGAAGGTGCTAGAACCTTCTATGGGAACTCACTGAGCATGCTCAGTACTGGCAGAACTCAACGCAAAATGGTGGGCAGAACACAAAATGGCGTCCTTCTGGCTTGTTCCCTCAGGAGCCTGAGACCCTCAGCTGCACCTCAGCTGCGGCGCCTCCTTCCCAGCCATTGAAACCCACTGCTCCACTGTGTCCTAGGCCTCTTTGCATAATCCAGATTATCAACGCAGTCCATCCACATGACCTGCCTTGAACTGGACATGAAAAAAAAAACCTGGCCCCGTCAATGCTTTGCTGGGCCAGGGTAAAATACCCTCTAGCCTGGAAAAAGTGGTTGTAAGACCAATTTTAAGGAAATCTTCCCTGGGCCCTACGATCCTTAACAACGATTGACCCATTTCCAATCTCCCCTTCCTGGGCAAGGTTCTGGAGTGGGTGGTGGTCACCCATCTCCAGAGATTCTTGGATGAAACCAATTATCTTGACCCCTCGCAGTCTGGTTTTAGGCCTGGTCACAGAATGGAGACAGTTTTGGTCGCCTTTGAGCCTGCCACTTTTGGACTCTCGCTTGCTGAGGTGTTCCAGCAAGTGTCTGTAGATCTTAGAAAACTATGTCTTGATTTAAGTCGTTGACGTGCTGGCTGAGACCCAAACAGGGGATGAGCTGGAGATGTCTCTGCCTTGGTCCTTTCACTATTGGCTGCTACTTCCCGGCGGATGTCAGATGGTGCAATACCGGCTGAGTAGTGTAATTTCTCCAGTGGTGTAGGGCGCAGACACCCCGTGATAATGCGGCATGTCTCATTAAGAGCCACATCCACTGTTTTAGTGTGGTGAGATGTGTTCCACACTGGGCATGCATACTCAGCAGCAGAGTAGCATAGCGCAAGGGCAGATGTCTTCACTGTGTCTGGTTGTGATCCCCAGGTTGTGCCAGTCAGCTTTCGTATGATATTGTTTCTAGCACCCACTTTTTGCTTGATATTCAGGCAGTGCTTCTTGTAGGTCAGAGCACGGTCCAGAGTGACTCCCAGGTATTTGGGTGCGCTGCATTGCTCCAGTGGGATTCCTTCCCAGGTGATCCTCAGAGCTCGGGATGCTTCTCTGTTCTTGAGATGAAAGGCACATGTCTGTGTTTTAGATGGGTTAGGGATCAGCTGGTTTTCCCTGTAATAGGCAGTAAGAGCACCTAGAGCTTCGGAGAGCTTCTGTTCAACCATCTCAAAGCTCCCTGCTTGAGCGGTGATGGCATGATCATCAGCATAGATGAAGCTCTCTGTCCCTTCTGGCAGTGGCTGGTCATTTGTGTAGATGTTGAACACAGATGATACACAACTCTATTACTCATATTTTGTTGTATTATCCATGCTGTGAACCGCCCCAAATCCCCCAAGGAGATGGGGCGGGGTAATAAATAAAGTTTATTATTATTTATATTTAGAGTCCAACTCACAGCAAACCTCCCAAGAGCTTGTCAGGCTTGCCAAGATTTGGAAATAAGTTGTACAGCAGTTCTTTTAAGTGAGAACAGGATCAGCGTCTCAGGCCTAACCAAGGGTGTCACTGCAATTTTGGGGGTGAGGGCAAATGCTGAGACTATAGCATAAAGGCTGTAGTAACCCTGTGTTAGTTTGGCTGAAGGTTGGAGAATGAAGAGAGAAAAGAGAGTTTGTTGGACATATTGTAAATACTGTGCTAGTTTTTACTATTACTGTTTGTACTGTTTGTAATATTACTGCAACCGGAGAAAGAAAAATCTTCCAGTTGGAACAGCTTTTTATTGTCGAAGGTTTTCATGGCCAGAATCACTGGGTTGTTGTAGGTTTTTTGGGCTATATGGCCATGTTCTAGAGGCATTCTCTCCTGACGTTTCGCCTGCATCTATGGCAAGCATCCTCAGAGGTAGTGAGGTCTGTTGGAACTAGGAAAAGGGGTTTATATATCTGTGTAAAGACCAGGGTGGGACAAAGAACTCTTGTCTGCTGGAGCTAGGTGTGAATGTTTCAACTGACCACCTTGATTAGCATTTGATGGCCTGGCAGTGCATGGGGCAATCTTTTGTTGAGAGGTGATTAGCTGCCCTGATTGTTTCCTCTCTGTTGTTTGGCTGTTGTAATTTCCCGAGGCCACTTCACCGCACAGAAAGAGATTTGGCTCCCTAACAGGAGTGAAGAGTCCCTTCTGTTGTCGTTCAGGGAATGTCATGCTGTTCCGAACCCAACAAGGCAAAGGCAGCCTCCTCCGAACCACGCCTCAACTAGGTTTCCAAAAAGGGATTCGGACCCTGCCCTCCGGAGCCCACTCCCACTCTGACCATGATGCAAAGCTGGCTCCCCACCCCACCCCCACCCCACCCCCTTGCCGGGTTTCCCCCCTTGAGACCAGTCCCAGCCTGCCTCTCCTTCAAGGGAAAGAAGCCCCTCGGCCGATGACAACATCAACGCCCTTCTCCTCGCCCCGGGAACAAGGCCAGAAGAATCAGGCAGCCACTAGCTGTTGGTAGCAAAATAGATGCTTCTTAATAAGTTACAAAAGCCACACACACAGAAAATATTACAGGATTCCCTCAACGACAGCAGGAGGCGGGTGACCCCAATTCCTCTTTGAAGGGCGCTTCCTGAGTCCTTCCCAAAAGACAGAGATTTTGGGGGCGGGGGACACTTCACCCCAAACACCCCAGGGAGCCAGTGTCTCTTGGAGTATACTGGGGGTAGGTGGGTTGCTGTCCAACTGAATCCCATCCAGTCTGTTCACCCTCCTCTTCCTTCCTTCCTTCCTTCCGTCCTTAGTGGCTACTGTCCACTTCTGGCCCGGTACCGCTGCTTGGCTTCCTGCAGGAAGTTCCGGAAGGCCGGCTCTTCGTGGCTCCCTTCGCTTGCTGCAGGAGGAAAGAGAGGAAAGTGGGCCCAGCCCTCAAACTCCACCCTGTTATTATTATTATTATTATTATTATTACTTTATTTGTACCCCGCTAGCATCTCCCAAGGGATTCGATGCGGCTTACAACAGGCCGGAGCCCAACACAATACAACAGTACAATACATAGCAAATAAAACAGTTAAAGCAGAAAACAACAACAGCAGCAATACAACAGGACATCATTAAAAACTGAGCCGGCCTGGAATAGGGTACAGGGTTAAAAAGTGCTGAAGTGTCGGAGGGATATGGGGTTAAAATATAAGTGCAGTGTGCGGTGAGGGTGATCTTGACTCTACTAAAGTGCTTCTGGGCTTTGGTAGTGGGGTTCCTAATCTGAGAAGGCACGTTGGAACAGCCAGGTTTTCAGGTTCTTTCTGAAAACCGCCAAAGTAGGGGCCTGTCTGAGATCTTTCGGGAGGGCATTCCAGAGGCGGGGGGCCACCACAGAGAAGGCCCTGTCCGTGTCCCCACCAAACACGCCTGCGACGCGGGCGGGTTCACGAGCAGGGCCTCTCCTGATGACCGGAGTGAGCGTGTGGGTTCATAGACTGTGATGCGGTCTCGCAGGTAGGGTGGTCCCAAACCGTTCAGGGCTTTGTAGGTAAGCACCTGCACCTTAAATTGGGCTCGGAAAATAAACGGCAGCCAGTGGAGCTCCTTAAACAGAAGGGTTGACCTCTCTCTGTAATGGGCCCGTTAGCATCCTGGCTGCTGCCCGTTGGACCAATTGGAATTTCCGAGCCGTTTTCAAGGGCAGCCCCACGTAGAGCGCATTGCAGTAATCCAGTCTAGAGGTGACTAAGGCATGGACCACCCCGGCCAGATCAGCCTTCGCGAGGTACGGTCGCAGTTGGCGCACGAGTCTCAATTGTGCAAAAGCCCTCCCGCCACCGCCGATGCCTGAGCCTCAAGCGTGAGCGATGAGTTCAGGAGGACTCCCAAGCTGCGGACCTGTGGCTTCAGGGGGCCATATAATTTCACCAAAATAGTTTTCAGAGAGTATGGAGATCTGAGGTAACACATTCAGCTATTTTCTTTTAACCAGGGTTGTTGGAAGGACGCTACACATAACAATAATTAACAACCCAAACTCATGAGTGCCCCTGAGACTGGATCTACACTGCCCTATATCCCAGGATCTGATCACAGATTATCTGCTTTGAAATGAATTATATGACTCTACACTGCCAGATAATCTGAAATAAGCAGATAATCTGGGATCAGATCCTGGGATATAGGGCTGTGTAGATCCAAGCTGAGTAAGCTTATCAACTTTCCTTTCTGATTCCCATCCAAAATCACACTACATTCCAATCATTCCTTCAGCCATTGATATGATTGCCTCTGGGCAACATCATTCCTCCTTTGTCCTTCAATGGCCATTATTAATACAGAATGTTTGGCCTGCATCAAGAGGAGCCTAGTGTCTAGATCTAAGGAAGTGTACCCTCAACTTATATATAAACAGAACACACCTGGAATATTGTGTCCAATTCTGGGCACCACGAACTGGAATGTGTCCAGAGGAGGGTGACTAAAATGATCAAGGGTCTGGAGAACAAGCCTTATGAGGAGTGGCTTAAGGAGCTGGGCATGTTTAGCCTGAAGAAGAGAAGGCTGAGAGGAGACATGATAGCCATGTATAAATATGTGAGAGGAAGCCACAGGGAGGAGGGAGCAAGCTTGTTTTCTGCTTCCCTGGAGACTAGGACGCGGAACAATGGCTTCAAACTACAAGAGAGGAGATTCCATCTGAACATGAGGAAGAACTTCCTGACTGTGAGAGCCGTTCAGCAGTGGAACTCTCTGCCCCGGATGGAGTGTGGTGGAGGCTCCTTCTTTGGAAGCTTTTAAACAGAGGCTGGATGGCCATCTGTCAGGGGTGATTTGAATGCAATATTCCTGCTTCTTGGCAGAATGGGGTTGGACTGGATGGCCCAGGAGGTCTCTTCCAACTCTTTGATTCTATGATTCTATCATCATACCCTCATGTTTTGTATTTTTATGTCCATCCACACATGCAGGTCAGTTCTTAGGAAGCAGACTTAGGTTGCATTTCCACTGTACAATTATGCAGTTTGACACAACTTTAACAAGGTTTTTAGCCTTCTCTACCAAAAAATGCTGCTACCTCACCAAACTGCAACTCTCATGATTCCATAGCATTGATCCATGGCAGTAACACGCTTGGCGGGGATGAGGGACAGGGCCTTCTCTGTGGTGGCCCCTCGGCTGTGGAACTCCCTGCCTAGGGATATTAGATCAGCCCCCTCCCTCCTGACTTTTCGGAAGAGAGTAAAAACCTGGCTCTTCGAGCAAGCATTCGGAACCCCGGAATAGATAGTCAAGCTTGAGATGGAGAATGACCCAGGAACGGCCAAGATGATGAAACGGATGAGGATTGGAACGAGAGGATAGAGCTCTTTTAAAATTGTCATGGCACTGTCTTTTTTGTCTAAATGCACTTAATTGTTTTTGCTTTTGTATTGTATTGATGGCATCGAATTGTGCCGATATGTAGACCGCCCTGAGTCGCCTGCGGGCTGATATGGGTGGGATATAAGTGATGTAAATAAATAAATAAATAAGGAGAGAGTGGGTCTCCCCCCATGAAGGAGACCCCAGGGTGTGGCCTCTTCTGAGCCAGGAAGGATGGAAGCCAACCCACTGAGCACAGGGCAGAGATGCTGGGGAGTCAGTGCCATTACCTTCGTGGTCAATGTCGTCCGTGTCACTGTCCAGGCCTTCCTCTTCGTCCTCTCCCTCCTCCAGCGTCCCTCGCGTCATGATCAGGCCGGAGGGGCCCGCGGAAGACAATTCTGCTGCTGCTGGGCCTGAGCCTGAAGACAAAGTTCAACGGTGACAAATGCAAGATACTCCACTTTGGCAGGAAAAACGAAATGCAAAGAGACAGAATGGGGGACAATGCCTGGCTCGAGAGCAGGACGTGTGAAAAAGATCTTGGAGTCCTCGTGGACAACAAGTTAAACATGAGCCAGGAATGTGATGTGGCGCAAAAAGCCAATGGGATTTTGGCCTGCATCAAGAGGAGCATAGTGTCCAGATCTAGGGAAGTCATGCTCCCCAGGCTCTATTCCGCCTTGGTTAGACCACACCTGGAATATTGTGTCCAATTCTGGGCACCACAATTCAAGAGAGATATTGACAAGCTGGAATGTGTCCAGAGGAGGGAGACTAAAATGATCAAGGGTCTGGAGAACAAGCCCTATGAGGAGCGGCTTAAAGAGCTGGGCATGTTTAGCCTGAAGAAGAGAAGGCTGAGAGAGATATTGACAAGCTGGAATGTGTCCTGAGGAGGGCGACTAAAATGATTCAGGGTCTGGAGAACAAGCCCTATGAGGAGCGGCTTAAGGAGCTGGGCATGTTTAGCCTGAAGAAGAGAAGGCTGAGAGGAGATATGATAGCCATGTATAAATATGTGAGAGGAAGCCACAGGGAGGAGGGAGCAAGCTTGTTTTCTGCTTCCCTGGAGACTAGGACGGAACAATGGCTTCAAACTTCAACAGAGGAGATTCCATCTGAACATGAGGAAGAACTTCCTGACTGTGAGAGCCGTTCAGCAGTGGAACTCTCTGCCCCGGAGTGTGGTGGAGGCTCCTTCTTTGGAAGCTTTTAACAGAGGCTGGATGGCCATCTGTCAGGGGTGATTTGAATGCAATATTCCTGCTTCTTGGCAGAATGGGGTTGGACTGGATGGCCCAGGAGGTCTCTTCCAACTCTTTGATTCTATGAAAGACCCCAAGGGCTGAGTAGAGCACATGCTCTCCCCCAACATGCCAAGTGTAATTAATCCCTTACCTTCGCTGGTTAGCTTAGGCCTAGGGAAGTGGGCCTGGTGAAGCCACGGCATCCATTTTAGAGAAGGGAGACAGGGAGACGCCATCTTAGGTTAGGTTTGCCTAAAAGGGGGGGGGGGTTCTAGTCTAGGAGGGAAAATCAGAAGGCTAGGTGACTTTTAAACTGAGGTTTGAGGTCCCAGTTTGCCAGTTGGAGCTTGGAAAGGGTAGAGAGAAGGTTGGGTGTTAGCAAGAGCAGGTTGGGTTTCTGAAGAAGTTTGGGTCAGTCTTTTGGAGAGTATTCAGAATAGCTATAGAAAAATATAGCTAGCATACTGTGTGGAACAGCACCCCGTTAGTGGTCTGTTCTTTTCCGAAGGAAGGCTAGTTCAGAGTTTTGGCGAGATTCCTAAGGGGGATTTTTGGGAATTACTTTCAAAGATTCATTTCCTGAAATAATTTTCTGTGTTGTAACTTTTAAAACTTGTAACCCAGGACTTTTTAAGATCTTTACTCAAATGCAACCATAAGCTTTTTGTGCCAGTATTTTACTGAAACCATTAAGCATTTTGTACCTGAATTATTCAAGCCTGTTCAATAAACATTCTTGTTATTTTTAACAGCTTATACCAGCCTCAGTGCAAATACCTTTGTGGTCAAAGCATTATTCATGTTTGCTTTTTTAAAGTAAACTATAGTGACACAGAGTGTGTTACTGAACAACCTCTCAATAATACCTCAGCCTGTTTATCATTAACATGGTGGCAGCGGAAATCCTTTGAATCATAGAATTAAAGAGTTGGAAGAGACCTCATGGGCCATCCAGTCCAACCCCCTGCCAAGAAGCAGGGGGTTGAAATGAAGAATCATTTCAAGTCTCTCAGTTCCAGTGCCTCCCAGTTCCTAGCTTTTAAGTATACAGTTGGCTTCACCAACCATACTCCCTCTATATTTTTAGTGAGCTAGTCAGTAATGGTGGTGTCATCGTTATAATTTTGATTGAGCAGCGTTGTGGGATTATTTTCCTATATTTCCCCATCTGATAAAATCAAATTATTTAAAATCTTCTCCGCTACCCTCCTGCTATTGTTATAATTTGGTGAACAGCGGTGTGATTGTTATACCAAGCCACTGGGCCCAGCACTTTCTGAATGGCCCATCCACAATGGAGCCCCTCAGTTGGCCCCAATGCCAGCAGCCCTGAGCCTCCTTGCCTACCGGGCAAAGCAGGGCCTCCCTCCGCAGCCACATCCACGGGGGAGGCCATGTCTCTCTGTAGGCGCTCCAGCTGCTCCTGCTGCCGCCGGCTCTGGGCTTTCTCCTGCAAAAGAGGAGGAAGGCCTGTCTCAGTCAGACATCCCGCTGGCTTTCCTGAATCCGGACTCACAACCTTCCAACCTCTTCCAAGATGTGGACCAAGGCGCCCGTAAGCCACTGACTGGTGTAAACTCAACAGAGGGAAACAAAGGCAGTGAGCACTCCCCCCACCACCCACCACCACATACAGAGGGGGAACTGACCTGGGGCTGTCAGTCACAGCACCCCCAATGGTCATGACCAGGTCTGGAGCTCAGGCTGAGGAACTGCTTTCAGCAGGAGAGAAGCACATGGACACCCCCACCAACACAGGGTATTGATGCACCAATCAATGAGGGTGCTCTTCTCCTCGGCCAAGGCTCCAGGAGTCCCTGAAAGTGGCACAAATGAGAAGGAGGGCCCCTGCTGCCCAGCTCCACTTACCAGCTTCTTCCTCAGCCGCTCGTATTCTGGACGATACTCTCTGGAAGAGAAGAGAAGGGACAGGGCTCAGTGCGCCCCTCCACCAGCCCCAGGCAGGGAACCCCAGCACCACTTGGCAGCCACTCCGGAGCCGTGGCCAGGATGGCAGGCCTCTCACACCCAGCCCAAGACCCCCATTATTTATTATTTATTTATTTACAGTATTTATATACCGCCTTTCTCACCCCTGGGGGGACTCAAAGCGGAGTCCGGCATGTGAAGGGACCTGGCCCCTCCTGCCCCCAGTATCAGCAAGTAGCACCCTCCCCGCATCCCCAATGCCATGCCCAGCCTCTACTGGACCTTGAGGGGGTTGGCAGAAGACAAAGCCGCCATCCCACCTCCCTCCCTTGCAAAGGGCCTCTCTCTCACCTTTCGTATTCCTCAGCTGCTTGGGACACGAGCTCAAAGAACTCCTCCATCCCGGTCCCTTGCACAGCAGAGACCCCCGCCACCTGAAAGAGAACCATAATCTATATAAATAAAAATGTAATGTTCGTTTGTGGGATTAACGTAACTCAAAAATCACTGGACGAATTGACACCAAATTTGGACACAAGACGCCTAACAGTCCAACGAGTGTCCATCACTCCTTAAAAAACTCACACACAAAACCCCAGCGGAGCAGACTTAAAATCCCGAAAAATACAGCATATATACATATACACATACACTCATACATATATATACACATGCACGCATTCTTATATATATATGCACAAATATACACATATACACACTGGATGAATTGCCGCCATATTTGGACACAAGACACCTACTAACCCAAGGAGTGACCGTCACTCAAAAAAAAAAAAAGATTTTGTCATTTGGGAGTTATAGTTGCTGGGATTTATAGTTCACTTACAATCAAAGAGCATTCCGAACTCCACCAACAATGGAATTGAACCAAGCCTGGCACACAGAACTCCTATGACTGACAGAAAATACTGGAAGGGTTTGGTGGGTATTGATCTTGAGTTTGGAAGTTGCAGTTCACTTACATCCAGAGAGCGCTGTGGACTCAAACAATGATGGATCTGGACCAAACTTGGCACAAGCACTCAATATGCCCAAATATGAACACAGATGGAGTTTGGGGGGGGGGGGGGGATAGACCTTGACATTTGGGAGTTGTAGTTACTGGGATGTATAGTTCAGCTACAATCAAAGAGCATTCTGAAACCCACCAATGACAGAATTGGGCCAAATTTTCTGTTGGTCCTGGGAGTTCTGTGTGCCAAGTTTGGTTCAATTCCATCGTTGATGGAGTTCAGAATGCTCTTTGATTGTAGGTGAACTATAAATCCTAGCAACTATGACTCCCAAACGACAAAATCATAATTTTTGAGTGATGGTCACTCCTTGTGTTGTGAGACATTTTCTTGCCAAATTTGGTGTGA